CACTGAAATTTTATTGAAGAAAAAATCTCCTAGCCTTGAAAATTTCTCTGAAAAAGTTGAAATTTTTTCGCTAAAACTTCTCCCATAGGTGTTATCGAGGATCCTAATCATGAATATCAGATCCAGGGCGCCAAATTGGCGCCATTTGGCGCCAGATGGCGCCCTGACTGAATCTCATCAAATTCGCCGTAAACTTGTATATAGGGGTTATTTCAGGCCCTGATTACGAAAATGACATTCGTTTTGGTCGTTGGCGCTACTCATCTCCTGTTTCCTGCTCGCCTGCATCCTCTCGGGTGCGGGACTTTTGGCTCGTCCGGGATGGCACACGGCGAGTTGCGCGGCGGCATGCGCGGCGATCCAGACGAGGCAAGGCTTCGCAGGATATGCAAAAGTATTCAATACATCAAAGCGTATGCAGATTGCTGATAAACTCTGCATGGTTCGGCTTGAAAAATACTTTTCCCCACGCAGAGATTTAGAATGCAGCAGTGTCAGTGAGGAGACTTCAAGGAGATGACGATGATGAAATGCATAGTCATCACCTCCTTGAAAATTAAAAAAGTCACTACTACCAATCACTACTAAAATTAGGAAATTCTATTCAATTATTCGAGGCCAAATGTATATGCTTGCTTATTGCGGCGCTCATGCCCCTAGGGGGAATATTCAAAACAGGGCCTATGGTTGGTGGCACTAGGTAAGCCCAGGAGAGGGGAGAAACGCCAAGGAGATCACAAATTTCTCGCACAGTCCCCTAGAATCCCTTTCCCTTCTTGAGGCTCAATCCCATGCACAGTGATTCGCTCACTCACTTGAATGTCCTGAACCTCCCCCCCCCCTTCCGCTCAAGGGCATGAGCGCCATTGCCGCCATGTTCCTCTCATCTTTTCCAACTTAAGCTTCCTTACCATCATTGCTATCCTCAAATTTTCCCGCACGAAAAGTAATCGGATGGCAGAAACTTGCTGTTTTTATCTCCCACGCTTTGACGTGTTAGATGGTCACTGCAGAGAGCGTGCGAAGGAGTCCAGCGCGATTTCGCCGCGTATCAGCCTGGACGAGCAAAAGTCCGTCCCTCTCACTCATTGGTCGCAATCAGAACTAACAAGGGAAGTCGCGCGCAGGAGAGTGGAAAGCTTTTCGAAACGGTATCCTGTATTTTATAGGAGCTCGATGCGTAGACTAATTCGGCGCCGAAAGTGGATCCATAGTCAGACCAGGACTTCTGATAACTGCGTATAGAGCTTAGTTATAGCGTAAGAGCAGAAAATATGTAGACGCGTAGTCAGCCGTGGACGAGCCAAAAGTCCGTCCCTCTCACTAATTGGTCGCAATCAGAACTAACAAGGGAAGTCGCGCAGGAGATTGGAAAGCTTTTCGAAACGGTATCCTGTATTTTATAGGAGCTCGATGCGTAGACTAATTCGGCGCCGAAAGTGGATCTCATAGTCATGACCAGGACTTCTGATAACTGCTATAGAGCTATGTTATAGCGTAAGAGCAGAAAGATATGTAGAAAAAAACCAAAAAAAACAAGATGGATTTCCTGAAAATAACAGGGCCTTCTTGGTCCTTCTTGTGTGCCACGCGATTAACTGTTGTTGACGTACAACACCTCAAACTTGGGGAATTGCTTTAATACCATATTTGAAATCTCAATTTACACGTACGACATGAAAAATCGATGTTTCACAAAAAAAAACTGTGAAAAATGAGCAAAATCTACCAAAAATAGAATCTAAACCCTTTCATCCCATGAGCGAGTCGCCTTAATCTCCCTAGATCCAAAAGGTGAAATAAAGGTTGAAGAAATAAAAGTCGCATCGCAAGAGAAGAAGAGAGAGTGTCGCAACCTGTCGCTAGATCGCATAGGGGGCCCCGCTCGCAAAAGGGACGCTCGCGGAAGTGAGAGATAGTAGTAGTTGAACACGATGGCTTATTCTAATCCGCGAGCATTTATACTGTGTTCTGAGAGCCCTGAGCGTCCTCTCACAACATGTTTGCCGATAATGCTCTTCAGCTTAGCCACAGCAGAAACATAAGAAGATAGCAAGATCTGATAGTGTGGGAGACGTAATGGGATTTACCCCTTTGCACGAAATCGCGGATTCCGCGATATTTCCTCTGGGACAATGTCAGCCATCGGCGGCTGACAACCTCGTCCTCGCTAGAGCCTATACATCCCAAAGTCCCCACAAGAACTGGAAATGAGACCGGCCATATTGAATGGAATCGTTCGATAAAGAGGCTTTTGCTGGCTGGCCCTGTCTTGATCACCGCCGCCATGACGGCCAAATGAACGTCAATCCTGAGCACTTCTACAACGTAAAGCATTTTGACATTTTGAATTCTTATAAGAGTACATAGTCAGTGAAAATGAAATGTACCAGCTACCCCCGAGCATTATTTATCTCATATTCTAACACATGGAAAAAATGAAGGCCAGTGCTAATTTTGTGGCAGTCAAACAGACCAATAGTTACGCTAAACTGTTATCTGCGAAACAGAGACTGTGATCAAGGAACTGTGGGCTAATCGGGTGCAGAAGATCAAACCAAACCACTCCAGTGATTGTTTGATTTTTGAGCAGTTTAACATTAGCACCCGTACGCATGCGGCGACTTCTGCCGATAAAAGCGCATGAAAGGTGTGAAAGCCTTCCGTTTGGCTCTGATAGCAAAACTCATTAAACGTAGTCTCATTCTTAGATCGACTACACACTGCTTTTTTCGGACCTACCTTCATGAAAACTGAAGCAGTTCCGTTCGCATTCTGCTTAGTTCAAGTTGGCACTTGGCGAGGGCAAGGGCTTGAACTCTCCAAGACACTGCTGAAGCATTGCTTTATCAGATCTTCTTCTTCCTTCTCTCCTTCTCGCTAACGTTAGCCCCACGCAATCGCACGATCTGCTTCTTCTGTCAGTCGTCGCCACTTTGGTTTGTCTAGGATGTTTTCTGCTGTGGCCACCCACACTTCATTTGGGTCTTTTCGGACACGTCTCCTCACCTCTTCTTTTGGGCTCCTCGCGGTCGCTTGCCTTGCGCTTTGAGGTCCATCGCTTTCTTTCCCGGGTGATACTATATCCTCTGGCTCGTGTCTATATTGAAAGCGCTGATCTCGCATATTTAGTTTGACAGAGGATCATCACCGCTCTGATCATACTAGTTTCTGACCTGTCCAGTCGGGTCCAGCCGCAGGCTTATCTCAGCATCCTCATTTCTAAAGCACCTTCGATCGCTCAGGATTCCAGTGGACTCCTTCCCCTCCATGCAGTGTTGATGCAAGCCTTTACCGCCAAATCCACACTTTTTCCGAAAATACTAGTAATAAGCTGTGAAATTACAACCTACAATGAGCATTCTGAAGGGTAGTCGAAATTTAATTGAGCTCATTAGTTTTCGATAGCTTAGTCCATTTATGTGGTAGCTAGGAAACTGTAGGCTTTTCTATTCATCAGCGGTTGCATCAATTTCTTTTTTAGCATTTTCGAAATTACATAAACCACTTCATCCAAAGTACATTTCGCTAGGTGCTACAATTTCTTTTCTACTTTTCTGGCAGAAATCAGGTCCCGCCATGAACCAACTCTTTTTTTTCGTGAACCAATGTTTTTAGTTATCCAAAATTTGCTGTTCCCGGAAACCACGGATCGTAAATTCTCTCTTCGGCGTGCTGTGATACATTAAACCTTTCGGACCTGATTTTTTCCCCGTGGAGAAAATTTTCTTCCAGCTATTGTTCAGTACTTGTGAGCATATAGGTATCACTATGGCGAAATTTGGAAGCTATTCGATCACAAACAAAGAAACTAAGAAGCTTTGAAAATTGGCCCACCTTCTTAGTTTTTAAGCTTATGTCGAAACGATTCCAAATTTCATAGCTATGCCGAGAAAGTTTATAATTTTGGACAACATTGTAACTCATAATTTTGATTAGTGGAGTAGTTTAAATACTCTAAGAAAAAGTGACACTTACTTCGCCGGTTGCGGGGACCAGCGCCGATTCATTGCTGCAATTGTTCACAAATTCTTGTAATACTAACAGCAACACACCATGAAATGGCAGGTTTCGCTCATAATTGGGAAGTGGAAGGTTGACTAAAGCAAACTCTAGCAGGATTAGAAAAAGTATGCTGTTTCAGCGGCAATGCAAATATTTGAATTTGATGGTGGCAATTGCCACCGCCAGGGCCAAAAGGGTTAATGACTCTTTGGGCAAGGTCTGTAGATTAGGCTGGTGGTAAGGACACTTCCCTCTCCTTTCCACTTCTATAGGTATTCTTTTTACAAACATGATTTGCGTGGATCAATGTTGCTTCAACAACAATTTGGCTGGTGACCTGTGCATGTTTCCGCCGCCGTCTTAATTAGCACCCTCTCAACACTTTCGCCTTCCATGCTGTAGTAAATTTTGCGGTCATCGTCAGGGAACGCCTAGTGGAAAATCACTTTTCGCCGATTTTTAGGCACGGTTTGCAATCTGAGCCTCCGATAATCGGTAAAGGATCATTATCAGAGACGACTGCTCACAGAGGAAGTTTTTCATTTCGGTTGCTGATCTCCATGACATTTCTATACGATACCTTCAACGTCAAGCCATTTGTGTCATCCGCTTTTTTCACGTTTTCTGTGAAACTGTCGAATTCAAATTTGCCTATTAATAGCGTTGAAGAACATTTATGTTCTGCACAAAAAGTGATGTGCTCCAGCTGTTCACCTTCCCTTCCCAAGCCCAAGAACGATAGCTCTTCTAGGGGTTCGGTTAATCAATTGATTTTCGATTCACTTTTCCCAAAATTACACTCCAAGATCAGGGAACAGATCTAGTGTTAGCATTTTGGGGAGGAACCTATGTCGTAAACGATGAGGAAGGCAACTCGCAATTTTCACTATGCACGTAATTAGGGTGCCTGTATTTTGGGCGACAGGAACAAATGCGACCACATAACTTTTATTATCATCGATTTACTTACTAATTAAACTTATTCAATCTTCAGGATGTCGACAGGCGAAAACTATACGGCAGAAATAATAGAGCTTCGAAATCAGATCACTCAGATGCAGGAGGATTTCGCCGAAAATGACAACGCGTTCTTCCTCTGCTCAATGGCACTGATAATCTTTCGTACGTTGAACACATTGAACAGCATAATTGTTCAGTCAAGCTGCCCACTAAATTTTTGCAGTAATGCAATGCGGATTTGCGTTTCTCGAAGCCGGAGCTGTACGAAGCAAAAATACAACAAACATCCTGATCAAGAACTTGCTCGACTCATGTGACTATTTGTTATAAATCGATTTATCAGTTAATTATGTAAAAATTCCGATCAGGTATTGCTGTCATTGGTTACTGGTCTCTCGGGTGGGCATTTGCCTTCGGTGACTCGTCCAATAACGTCGTCGGGCTCTTCATTGGCCATACTCAGTTCTTTCTCGCTGGTCTGACCAACTATCCAAAGTGCGTAGTTCCGTCCATATTGGCGACATTATGCAAACTTATTTGATTACTTGTGCAGGTTCTTCTTTCAATATGTGTTCGCAGCCACATCAGCCACCATAGTGTCAGGAGCTGTGGCGGAACGATGCGAATTTGCTAATTACATTACATATTGTACAGTTATTTCTAGTACGTTCGCAGTTCCTTTCTATCTATTCATAAGTTTTTTCAGACCACACATAATCTGATCGCTTTCAGCTTTTGTGTATCCAATTCTAACCCATTGGGGATGGCATCCTCAGGGATGGATGTACTTAGGCATTCAAGCCAACGGCATCCACACCACGTACATGGTATGTTCTCAATATTCGTCGATGATTCGAGCAAGAATTTATCGCAAGGGTGTCACTGGTACCCATATTGACTTCTTGCTTGTAGAGACAATGAGGTTCCCGTGACAACCGACTACAAACATGTGTGAACTCAGGAAGAGGCATTAAAATGAAACTCATTGGCCTTTCAAAAACGCAAACAAGTCACCCATTACTAAGTTGAACATCAAGTTCCTCCACACTCGAGGAAAAGCAAAATTTATCTTTGCTCCTCACGATATCGACCAATGCAGCTTCGTTCCAGGAGTATTTTCATAAGAAATTCCCTCGGCGACACGGGTTATTGAATTTCAACTTACTTTTTGAGTGCCAAATGATTACAAGGGACAAAGCTGAGCTCTGATTACACTATTAAGAAATACGTGAGGGGAGGGGAAGGGGTTCTAAATAGTCGGTGTTTCGCCGCATCTACTTCGCTGATTGCCCAGGCTCCGAGAATTCTTAGGTTCGACACCGAATGTAGCACTTTTGACCTCGTCCTGAAGCTGGATCGATGATTCAAATTATGGTGTATATAGGTACATTATGATGCATATTCATGCAGAAAATAAAGTTATTGCATTTTTTAATTTCACATAAGACTCTTTGATTTTCAGTTTTGTCTAGAAACATTGTTGCGATTCTATCATATATTATACATATAATATTTAGAAGGGCGAAGTGGGAAGTGGTGTAGTGGCAAGTGGCACGCTCACCACGCGAGCGGTCCGGGAATCAAATCCTGGGTCGTGAGTCGCCCGAGCCAACCAAGCCTTCCATCCTCCGGGGTGGGTAATTGGTACCAGTCTTGCCTGGGAGGATAAAAACAATGACTTGTACATCGGCTGGCCCCCGCAAGTCATAATATAGGCCACATCGCATTCAAACGCCACTGCGAATGTACAAATGGAAGAAGAATGCGCGCCGCATCCCAAAAAGGGATCGATTAACGGCAAATGCTTTATCCTTATTATCCTTGATATTTAGAAGGGGGTGCTTCAAGCAAATACTCATTGACTAGTCATGTAGGCTTATGTACATGTCGCACACACTAAACTAAGCTTCTAGACAAGCTTCATGATTTCTGGTTGAAATTGAGCTTTCTCCCGAGAAAGTGTAGCGGAAAGCATGTATACAACTTAACATTAGATTAACAAAGGCCGAGGCGCTATGCCCATGGATACGCAATTTCCCCCCCCCCCCCACACCATTGAGCCCACCCACAGATCAGGGCTACTTTGCTTAGCTGCTACTGAAGGGAGGGTTTCATTTTCGGCCTTGTCATCTTTATCCCTTTTTTCATAGCTATTGTTGCGCTTGACATTTTCACCGTCAGTTGCCAGCGGAGTAGCAGATCGGTTCGATCCCGGAAGTTGCTTTCAAGCTAATTTGAACACCATTCCCGGCTATCATAGCAAATCCAGCTTTTGTGGATAGCTTCTTTAGGGATCTGATTAGGCGTTTGTTTAGGGTGACAAACTGCAGGGAATCTCATACAGATGAATCGTGAAATGGGTTCCGCATTGTTGTTTGTCATAACTTGTTTGAATTAATTTTTAAGGATTTCGCCGGAGCTGGCGTAGTTCACCTTTGTGGTGGAACGATCTCGTTTGCAGCAGCATACATAATAGGGCCCAGAATCGGCCGATTTCCGAAGGATGGTGAAGAAGAGTCTATTGAAATCAAAGGACATAGTGTACCGGTGGGTACTTTTATTTGGAAAGTGCAAATATCTGTCCTCAGTAACCGCTAGCAGCAAATTTACGTCACTTTAATAAGCCTATTCTTGCGGAAACTCCTTACGCCCTTATCATGTCTTGTTTGTCTTGCCGCTTGTCACGTTGCAAGAACAATAGCGGAACCCCGCACGAATCAGTTATCTGGCCATTATGGCTGATAAAATAGCTATAAAAAAGCAGAAGCTCCAGAAGCAAATTTAACGGATTAAGAGGTGGAATTACGTAATTTGCTGAACTGAACATCAAAGAAGAAACGTTGTAAAGACGTTAGTTTACTTAGGAAACCATTCAAACACAATTCTCATGTTTTGTTCTTTTCGCAGGGATGATGGCTCGAGTCACTAGCTCCGTCACTAGCTTCATATGACAAACTAAAGCTTGACAACACAGAAAGTCAGCAATGAAATGGTGTCATTTCGGAAATTTCTGCCGTTTTTGTTTGAGCAGTCAAATTTTTTCTAGTCTTCGAAGAAATCGTTCACAGAAACAGCACTATTCTATGACAATAATAAATCGTTACCTTGAAAGCCATTCTCCACGATAAGGACGAGAAAACCAAATTGCGTTTTTTTACTAATTAATTCGAAGAACTAGGAGGACTATTCAAATTCCTGCCCTAAATCTACAATATTACAAATATGGCGACAAGAGCGCATCCGCTTGCTCCTTACGGTGCCGTCACTACAAACTCTTCTTGGGCTTTTCATCTTCAGCAAAAGCATTCTGCTTCTCAAGTTCTCAATTGCATCCTATACTACTAATTTTCTCTCTGTTCTCCGAATTCAAACACATTGTTTTGATTCTTTCAGTGCGTCACCTAATACGTGGCAATCCCTCCATGCAGCTTCTCTTGGCTCCATGCGATCTACTAGTGTGGTTTTCGTAACTTTGTTCTGAGTCGGAAACTGGAAGTTGCATGAAGCTTTCCACTCTGTCTCCAGTCGTCGCAACTGATGTACTAATGTTGGGAATGTGCATTTTCCATGCGCACTTCCTTCAATTCACTCCTCTGTTTGGTATTGATGGAATGATCACGAAAGGAAAAGCTACCGAAACGTTGTCCAGTAGGAGAACGCAGTTTTTCCCTTGGCACTACCTACTTTTGGATTACGATGCCGAAAATCTCTTATTCGTTGACCAGTGGTGCTCCACGGGTACTGGAGGGAATACATATTCCTAAACTTTCTACCCTGTGTACAAGATCAAGGCGTGGCGATCCTTGATTGGTCACTTGACACTGCCCCTCTAATTTCCCTTTTTCTCGTCTTGTTAGTCTCACTTATTTCTTTTTCATTTAGTTCGCTGCGCTTGGAGGCTTCATTCTAATGTTTGGTTTCCTGGCTTTCAATGGAGGTAGGATGCATACATGTTCAATTTAATCTTGCTATTTGGCTGCTCACTTAGTTAATTAAGACTTCCCTAAAACGTCACTACTTCTAGTTCTGCACATCTTTCTTACTTGCAGGATCGATGGCCGATATCGTCAAACCAGGAGAAGGGCGCATAGTTGCTCTAGCGATGATCAACACCATTCTCTGTGGCGCATTCGCAGCGCTAACATTCCTTATTATTCATTTTCTCACAAAAGGAAAGTGGACTTTGTTGCTGACTATAAACGCTTGTCTTGCAGGTGATAATTTTTCATACATCTAGTTGCAAAAGATTTCATATGTTTTTTTTTGTCAAATCTCAGTCACTTACGAAAATTATATAATCGAATATCACTGGTCACTATGGTTTACGGAGCCTAGCTAACTATAGCAGGCGTTCCCTGGTGCCAGTTGGAAGCACGACGCCTTTGGGGCCAGTGTCACTTTCCAGTTGAAGATTTTTCTAGTGATAGGCTGATCAAGGAGCAGAGCAAAACAAATACAGCAGAAGCGATGTTGATGTAAATAGGGGGCATTCAAGAACAAGTATTTTGGTCCGCCCCTGGCGATCACGACGGCCTACTCGGACATGGAAGACCTCGGTTGCCACTATGCTGCAGTATACAGGGTGGCGAAAAATTACGTGCGTCATAAATCACATCTGAATTCTATTTCTTGTTTACGAAAATTCGCAAGCAGTTAATTTTATGAGAGCTCAATTCATGACATTTTATAAGTGCAAAGAAGTTTTGAAGTAGCTGCCATCACTTTAGATACAGTCCTCCAATTGTTTCTTCAGCGTGTCGATGGTGCGGCGGAGGAGTTCATCGCATTATTCATTTCGAATTTCGGACAGTTCTTGTCAAAATCACCAAACTTTTTGCACTTCTATTCTTTAGTAGTTCTTCAATGAAACCTCAAACAGAGAAGTCTAACTGATCCGAATTCGGACTGTAAGAAGACCATGAATCCATTGCTACAAAACAGCCGATAATGGTCCCGAAGAAGTGAATCGCTATGTTGGCCCACGGGCCCAAGCCAACTAGTGTAGTATGATAGAATTATTTTAGTCCTGCTTTCAGGGAATCCCAGCTTCCTGGAAAACCCCTTCTTGATAGACCTTCTCATTGATTTCCACACTACTATCGATAAAAACGTATGAAGGATTGCCCGGAGCACTGATCCAGCCTCAAATCATCAAATTTTCAAGGAGCGAAATCCTTACGAATATTTTACATTTAAGGATGCTACGAGCTGTGACAAAAGATTAAAAGTGATTCCGAGAGTTCCAAGGCCTTTAAACGGTAAACTTTTATTTGTGAAACTACAGGGCCTCTTGGGACCGCCGCACTGAAAAAATCTCGCGACTTTCCTAATTTTTCCATCCCATCTTGCTTTGCTTGAACAGTGGGAGACTGCCCTTTTGTTTTTTGATAGCTTCCATTCAGCGCTTTATTTTTGCCATTATTTGAACAGGTTCTGGGAAGTTTCGTACTGTTTGAAACCCTTATTCAAGCTCAGGTCAGCCTTTTGATCATTCTTCTTCTTAATAATTCCCTGCACCAATCAGGTGTTCTTACTCCGCTCTCATTCTCTTACGAGTCTAAGTGGAGCCTGCTGTTCCTCTTCCCACTGTTTTCCAAGTTTCTGGACTGCTCTTGAAAGACTGTGAGCCTTGAAGGAGTAGTTGAGCTCTCAGTCCAGCTTTTGCTTGCCGCACAATCGCGTTCCATCTTGAACAGTTTTTCGTCATAACTTGGGGAACAAATGTTTTCTTCTGCAAGCCAATAATTAGCAAAAGACAAACAATTTGAGAAGAAAAAGGACAGAAAATCTTTTCATTAAGTATATAACAGAAAGCGGAATATCACGCGCACGTATTTTTTAGCCACCCTGTAGAATAGCAACTCCGTACAGCGTACTTCAGTTATGTTACAACTCCAAGAAATGTCGTATATACGTACATAATATCAAGACTTACTGCATATTGCCGAAATTATTACATCTAAACCTCTGCATGATAACACTTACCATCTCAGGCATGGTGTCGTCCTGCGCTGGTTGCGATCGCATGGAACCATGGGCGTCATCATTCACTGGGATAGGAGCAGGACTCATCTACCTCGCTCTAAGTCATTTCATGATCGCGTTGGTTTCTACCGCGATTACCCATTAGATTTCTGGGCCAGTTTGGAAAAATGTTTTTTCGTAGGATCAAAGTCGATGACCCATTGGATGCGTTTGCTGTGCATGCAGGGGGAGGATTTTGGGGACTCGTTTCGGCGTGTATTATTGCCCACAACGGAATCGTCTATGCGATTTCGGATGCTATCGCCAACAATCACGGATCACTTTCCTTGAGACAAGCGTTTGCGGTGAGATTTTTTTTTCTTGAACAGCTTGCCTTGGACTCGTATCAGCGAAAGCGGTAAGTGCGCTGCAAAATCAGACAACCCTAAAAAATTTGGAATATTTCACCACTCACAAGGCGTTTTCGATCATTGTACCATCGAAAGCACATCTACAAAAACCTGAACTCTTGAGCATGCAGCTTGTTCGTCTCATTTCCCGTGTTTTTACAAGAAAAAATATTGATTTTTAGGCCGCTACGAAATAATAGGATCGCAGCACTCATTTGGTATGTAGTAATTGTGCTGGAATTACTATTTGAGTTGCTTTCCTCTTCTCCTTGAAAGCCAATTCTTGATCTAATACCCACTTAGTGGCTTTCTTGGAAGTCGCAGTCATTTTTGGTAGCTCAAAGAAAACGATAGATAGGTATTCCAAAATACTCATTATGAATAAAGGTAAAAGAACACGATGGCAACCAGCAAGACCTTTGAACGCATAATAAACATACACTGCGTTTCATAATTATAGGTCCACCCTGAATTTTTGCTACCCCAAAGTTGCTGTGCATTTTTTGGAAATGCTGCTATCGCCGTTAGATTCCTCATCACGGAAAACCTTCATAGTGTTTTTCTGACAAATTCCCCCCTCAAGTATCCCAATTAACTTTTTTAGAACGAATTTTCACCGTTTCATGAATATCGGGCCACTCATAAAAAGTTTCCATTTCTCACGATCCGTGAAGGGAGTCAGGGAAGCGGGGAAATATGTGGGCTCAGTCGACGTCGAGTTTACCAAACCTCGTGTTATTCGCCTCTCTTCCCAGTAACAAGCTCAAGCTAAAGCACTTACTGAAGTGGGATAACTGAAGAGCAGAATTTCCTCCCATGTCGTCCGGCTCATACTGCGTAAGCGACTATGTGCAAAGTCCTGGTCAGTGCGGAGAGAAGAGTCGCTCAGGTAAATAAAGACTGCGTTTCCTTCAAAATTTAGGAGGAATTGGGTGTCTTCTCTCAAATTATACAAGAAGTCCGAACAAATTTCGTACAGAAATGCGGCCTTCCGTGAGCAAAACCACCGTGTGGTCAGTAAGCCAGCAGAGCAATAACATCTTCAACGGATTGATGAAGAGCGTTCCGAGATTATTTGAGCGCTACAAGATCGCAAGTCTCCATTTCTCCGTGGAAAAGGGCTCAACTTAATGAGCGATAGTGTGGCTGTTAAAGCAACAATCCAGGAACGAATTCGCGGGTAAGGACCACCTATAATGACGTTGCAGGTGAGAAGTTGGTCAATGGAGATAGAAAAAGTAGAAAAAAACGTCGGGCAGGGGCTTAGACAGGGACTCCCCCGGCCGTTTAGGGAGATGTGTGTTGGACGAGTTGTCCGAACCTGCCCGTAGTACATGCGCTCCAATTGCAACTGCTGGCAAATAGCCATGCATGCTTGCAAATACATAACTATTTGCCAGCAATCGAAATTGAAGCGCTTCAATTGCGTTCTTATGGAATCGACCTCATACAGCGCGGCGGTCCCGCAACGACCGCTAGTCGAGCAAGCGCTCTGCAGAGCGAATGTTGGTGAATGTTGGGCGATCCGCCTCTTTATGGGTGATCCGCCCCCTCCAAGAGGACTTCGACCCCTTCCAGCGCATTTTAGAGGTAGGTTTTGAAATTAAAGACATTTCCCATAAACTTTAGTTGGGCTGGGGCTTTTTTTGACCGCCTAATGAACTAGTAGTTGAAACCCTGCCTGGACTGTTGCTTTAAGACCCCGCGATCTTGGACTCTACTACCTCCTGTGTTCGTCTCGACAGGTGGTCGGGATCGACGTGGAAAAGTTTATATCTATGTGATATGGCAGAAAAAGAGCGTAGCAGGAGGATCGGCGTGAAAATCGCGCAGATGGTTTCAATGTCACGTAATTTCGCGTTGAAGTCCATGTTCTGAGGCCCCTTTGAACCCCTGTGTTGCTAGAGCTCGCTTCGTTTCCGTTTGCACTAAAGATGCCAACAAGGCGTATCGTGAAGTCTTTCGAAGAGAGTCTTACCATTTTTTCAACAGGATCCCCTCTATCCTTGATTTTCACAGCACGATACCGGCTGCTGTCCATGCTGGTCCTCCGCGCCAGAGGAATTGCAGTAAAATGTGGCAGTTATCTGGTGGCGCCACCATGTGTTATCTGAATCAGATTTCCAATAGAGAATCATGGCGCTCTTAATTGTTGTAAGTTCCACAGCAAAGTAAAAGCAAAATGGAACAGCCGAAAAGCTGAAAATATCTATCATCCGCGCCCGCACGAATTTCGATCCTATGTAATAGCTAATTTGGCTACCAGCATTTCAAAACGTATTATTGTGTTCCTTATGATTTTGGGGGTCATCCCATTATTGAAAATTCGTGACGTTTTTTCGTTATAGTAAAATCTCTCGACAAGTGATGTGTAGTCATATTTGCGAAACGGCGAAAATACGTTCTAAGGAAAATATTTCAATAATTCTGAATCGCGATTTCTCCAGAAATCAAGTATCAAGGTTTTTCGTTATGGGGAAACTACTGGTAATAGCGGCATTTTCCAAAAATGCACAGCAACTTTGGAATAGCAAAAAATTAGGGTGGACCTATATTTATGAAACGCAGTGTATTATATCCCTCAAACCTCTTATTCTCTGGTGACAGGAAATTTACCTTTGATAGATCAGATGTTCAACAGTGGAGGACTTACAAAGAATTCATCATTCTTTCATATTCATTCGACGTCATTTTCGTGAGGTTTCCTGAAGATGTGGGGAGTAACCTCACCCTGAATTCCAGGCTTTGAATTTTCTCCCATGACATGAGTTTAGCAGTGCACAAGAAACTCGCATAAGATCGTAGGCTCTCTCCCTCCTTTGAAGGATTCATCGTAGAAGAATGCTAATCAACGCATCTTGACTTGAGATAACCCTTATGAGGGATGCTTACAAGCAAACTGAACGACTTTAGAAGATGGCTAGCAACAAACGAGAGTCTGACTTCGGCGAAGCTCACATTTCACTTGCAACCCTTGTTAGCAATGTGAAGTTACGCGAAGAATCACAAGGTCGACAAAATTTCAATGTTGAAGTGAAGCAACGGAATCTTTGAAGGCACCATTTTTTCTTGATGTGTAAAAAAATTACGGCAGCGTTGCTTTTCGCTTGGATGGTGCCATTCTGCGAAGGGGTCTCTTTGGAGCACTTAAAGTGTCAGGTAAGGCGTTTTTTCACATTTCATAAAATTGCAAAGAGGATGTCCTATGATTTAGCAGTGGCCTTAAACCGAAACACGTGTATCGTGTAGGAACGGGGGGGGGACCTCTCGAATAAGTTGACCTTTGCTGTGCAAGTTTTTTGTTGACGCATATTTAGTCTTAGCTGCAGCAAAAGACGTCTTGCTGATTGTGGAATACTCACAACTTGTAGGGGTGTCTTACCATTTTGCAGCGCATTGTATAACATTATTTAAATGCACATTTTGCCATTTTGCGATCGCATAGGTATAGTTATTACATTTGGAAGAAAAAATCGAAGCGCGAACAGATTCCAGTGAGAAACGAGAAGAGCCCTTTTTCCTTTTCCAGCAACTTGGATGGCAGCTGATCTGTGCTCTCGCTATAATCGTATGGTCATTGCTTTGGATGGTTCCTATTTTCCTATTTCTGAAAAAGGTGAGTGAATTGTAACAAAACCTTCAAAATTGCTTTCCATATCTGCTAAGGAATTTTTTTGATGTGGTTATGAAACGGAAAGACAACGTGCGAGTGTTCCCCATTCGAAGGCAAGTAATCTTCTTGTCCCTGGAGAGCGGAGAAATCCGTCAAAACACAAAAGGGGACCTCCTTTTCTGGCTGTCGCGAATCGCGAGGATGCTCTAAGGGAATCCCCGGGTGCACCGGTGCCTGCGGACGAGTTGCCGTCATGACAACTATCTACTGTCTTCGTGATCGCGCGGCAACGTGCGGTGTTGTCATCGACAGCAACATCACGATCCCTCCCGGATGCCATTCTTGTCTCTTCAACGGGCCAATCCACTCGTCTTCTTCTCAACATCCGCACTGCAGCCCCGCAGGGCTTTAGGCCCTTAGAACTAACCTGGACGTTATATTCTGGACCTCTATCTGGAATCTAAATTACAGTTGTTTACAAGGTATTTGACAGCTCATTGATTTCCATTTGTGTCAGAAGGATGGTGGAGTAGGTGTAGCCATATGGTAAGGGTCATAGTTCACGTATCGATCAGGGCTGGATGCCCAAGTAAAGTAGAGGTTGATGGGAAGCACTTAGCCTCAAGGGCTTTTGGGAGTTGTGTCCCTCAAAGGGTTCGCGAGGAAGCTCACGCGTTCCTCTTCAGGTTACGGGGTTTCTACCCTGCGGTCACCGATTCGCAACACTGGCCGGTGGTTTTCACCCATGAGTAGACGAGAGCTCAGAAAGCGGATATATGAATGAGTTCATCACAGCGTTTGGTGGCATCATGCCGAACCTCGCTTCAATCGAGTTGCGCCACTTGTGCTGCTGCTGGCAACGCAGCTCGCCCAAATCACCAAGTGAACTAGTGGGCGGATCGCTTTTGGGGGGGGGAGTGTTTTCGAAGTCCTGCTCAGCAACTAGTGCCAGGGTGAACAACGGTCGAGGAAATACTCTACAGGGGGGGGGGTCGTATTTGCTCCGAACTAGAGTGAGGGGGTCGTGAGCGCAAGGACCACCAAGGCTCACAACGTGCTGCTGCCACTCCCTGTGCCAACACTAAGTTTACAGCTTTTACAGTTGGTCTGAAGTCTAGTTGGCCTGGTATCATAAGTTCGCATGGAATGAATATCAAATGAAATGCGTGTTGCTGTGGTGGAATTGATCAGCATGATTGCATCATAGGGAGGATGCTCGCCTTGTAAAAAATCTCGTACTCAATGTAAATGCATAATATTTACTCTTAATTGTTGTGAGCATTTGAAAGCCTTTGTAGGAGTAGGAACTCAGTATGCAGTTCAAAACAAGGAATTCGCAGGCTTCTTAGTATCATCACATGCTGCAGCCACAAATAACCATCAGGATACGGTTGGAAGCGACGTTGAACCTATGATCAGACTATTCTACAGCCATAAAGGTTATTCTGAATAGACGAGGCGCCTTAGGAGCACCCTCTGATCCGCCCAATCAAGCTGCCTTGACAAAGCACCTTTCAACTGAATTCGTGTGAGGTCCCTCCACGGCGCATACCAGAACGGAATGGATTTGCAATGGACCATTTACTATTTAATCCACCGAGATAATGTATCTCAAAAGCAATTTGGGGGTTTTGAAAGAAGTTCCTCGCATTGGCGAAGGAAGAGTTGCGTTTTCGATCGGCTCGGCAGCCATCCTCGACATATCCTCGAGGCACTTTTCTCAGAAACCAGAGAACTCTCGGAAGAGCTTCACCACCCATCAGAAAGGGTGAATCTTCCTCTTCCAATGGGCTTCGTGGGTGTTTCAGAGATCGTCATTACGGGAGTAATGGTCTTCTAAAGAAAGAAAGCCCGCATAAAAATTTCAACATCGTCGACAGATCTTCGACGTCTTCAGCTCGCGCGCTAAAATGCATTTGAAAAAACGCTCAGCACATACTAGAAATGAGAGGTCTCGTCAACTCAGAATCTGTATTCCTTTTCTGGAACGGTCGTAAATTTAGAGTGTTATATTCCTTCAAATGGGAGATAGATTTGACGACGTTTTCAACTGGTGCGCTTCAATCAAAACCACGCGCTACGAGACCGCAGCGCCGCTATACCGGAGCACGAGACTGCTCAACTGCCTGCATTCACAACGTTCTTGCTTTTATTAGTTCCTGAACAATGGAATAGATTAAGGAGTCCTGAAAACATAGGGGAGGCCAGAAGCCAGAAGGAGTAGTAGTCTGCAAAATTTGGAGTGGAATTTGAACCACGGAGCATTCGCGTCTCAGCTGTGCTAATTCTCTCTCGTGCATCTGAGTGTAACATATTTACTATATGACCCGATGTGCGCAGGGTAGAAGAGTCGTATCGGATCCCCTCTAGACAGGGGGGGAGAGGATCGTAGAGATGCGCTTGTTTCCTCGGCACGAATTCCACCATGACAAGTGTACCTTTCGTCACGAGAGCGCTACACCTCGCTTTCCTGGCAGCCGAGTGACTGATTCGTGTGGTGCATATGCTTCATATGCGATGCGCTTCCTCTTCATCGTAATCGCTGCCTTTAAGTCCCTCTTGATTACGTCTCCTCCTTCGTTATGGCTCCTCGCGGTCGCTTGCCTTGCACTCCGAAGTCCATTGCTGTTCTTATCGGATGGTTCTGTGGCTTCCTAAGCACGTTGGCGACGATGTATGATAGATCTTGACCGACAGCTCTTAAATAAGGAAACTCAAATGTAATCTGCGACTTATTTCAATAACCACTTCAGAGCCCTAAGGTACGATGCTCGATCGCGACCCATAATCTGTTCAGTTGGAAGAACTTTTTGCCCGTAATAATTATCAAGTGCAGAAATGCGCTGCAAATAGAATTACAACAACAAAATTCCTACAGCAAAACAGCAAAGCGGATATGCCACTGAAGATGTTCATATCGACTTTTTAATGAAGTCACGAGCAATCAAATGTCCATTTGCTGCTTTTTGAAGTTGAGGTTCTTTTGATGGCTAGTAGACACATGTCACTTGTTGGCGGAGACAGAAGCACTTACTATGAAACTTTATAACCCCCGCTGCAAACGACTTACTGATCGATTTTATTTATTATCGTCTGTCACTTCTCTACCATCCAAACAGCATCCTTACACAGAATGCTTTGACTAAACACGATGCTAAATGGCTTCCTCCAGTTCATCGCCTAGAAAACCTAAACAGCTGGAATTGTTGAACAATCAACTCGTTTTATATTGTCAAAACTGTTTCCTGAAAGACATACGTAGTTTAAAAATTGCGGGGAGCATGCAATGCAAAGAGCCTTATTACTCCTTACAGAGGATCATACAACAAAGAAATCATCTTTAGGCTTAGTGACGGAGAAATGTATGGCAAAACTGACCTGATGGTATTCTTACGCTAGAAAGCGTTATTGTCATGTTCCACTGTTCCATTTATTTTACTCCCATTCAATTTTATAATAAGCTGCGCACTTTGCCATCGCTCCAGAAGAAGTGACGAAGTGCTCTCCATAATTCTACGATGCAGGGTGTGCAACTATAATACTAACCCCAGTTTCTGGCCAATCATGTAACGCGCAACTTTTGCATTGTGGCACAAACATAAGCAGTGAACCATTAGCCAACCAGCGAGAGTATCACCAGGAGGAGCACTACTGTCGGTTTTTGGGCCCAATAGGGTAGACTATCCTACCTGCCATAATGCAATTATTTATACACTCATTAAAAGTAGGACTTCCAGATTGGGAAGTTACGTGTCTCAGAAGAAGTGGAAATTAATGGACTCGATATCTACAAGCACGGTGAAGCTGCTTATCCTTTACACGCTTACGGTCATGGATGGCACGACTTTGAACCGATTAAGGACAAGAAAGGCAATCGAATTCACAAGCTTAGGACAGACAGCGACCACGCTGAAAGTAGGAGACTTAGTCTATCACTTGCTATTACACCTAAAACTCATCCATTCCTGAAATTTTTTTTAGCATGCTCTATTTTTGAGCAGCCCCTATTGCCTCTTATTGTGTAAACGGAATGGATAAGACTGAAAATGGCTGCTGTTTTCCAGTGTCTTTGGAGCACCTTGCTGCTGCCTATGAGCGGCGTACCAGTGTCGCTCCAATCGGGTTCTTCGCGACAACGAATAATGGTGAAATACGAAAAAAGAGCCTTTACATCAACCCGTCGCAGTACGAACATCCTGAACATCATTCGCAGGCCAGAGAGAAAAACAGGGCTCAAAAGCGGGTTTGTCTCGTGTCTCCAATGTTTCAGTCGCCTCAGTAGATCAGGATATAATTGCAGGTCACGCATAATCCAGAAGTCGAAATGGCAAGCGCACCAACAACAGCCAAGTCGTCTAGGGCCGACATCATTGCTGAAATGTACGAAGACACTCCTCAGCGAAACGCTGTTTAGATTAGTTGTTCCGCATCGAGTTGCTCTGTATGCGAGTTCACTCAAAGGTCCCGCCCGATAATGTCTTGAGAAGCCTTACAGTGATTTGTCTCATATCTACCTCGAATCTCAGTGATCATGTGCTGTTTCTTTTTGTATATACCTTTCACTGCTTCCGCATTGCGCATACAAGTTACAGTTATGTTCTAAGGACATTTGATGGCAACGTGTTAGAAGCGCACGCTATACGTGAAGGATGACTGCAATTGGTGCAATGAGCAGCAGAGAACCAAGCGCCGAGAAGCCACCTCTTGAGCCACGCGTATGCAGCAGACACTTTCTTTCCCAACAAATAGGAAGAAATTTCCTCTTGGTTCTTTGAGGTAAGCATCCAAGGGGAACCGTAAACCAATTCGGGGGGTGCGAAAAGTTCACCGGCGGTGCGGACGCGAGTCGTGCAGTTGACGTCAGAGCTGCGGCAGCACCACGAGAGGGCAAGTCCAAAAGCGTCGCTGCCACATCGCTTGATTAGTATAAGGGTAGCTGGCATCTCACCATTTTGTGCAATTAGTAGTGCCGTGGCGAAGTGATTGTATTGTGTATAGCTACTGTTTTCGCCATCGAAAATCAACGGTTTTGCGTGTAAAGCCTAAATAATTCGCAACTAATTCGGAGTTGATTTAAATAAGTCTCCATCGTAATTACTTCTGCTCACTGCATATTGATCGATACTGTCCTATACGCAATGGTGTAAAGTATCAACACCACTCTTGCTCAATCACTCGCCGTCGCTGTGACGTTAAAGTGACATCACCCGTACGCGCTAGCGTCCGCAACGCCGGTGCACTATTCCATGAAGCCAAACAATTCGAAGATTCAGCTCATCAACTCGCCTCCTTCCGATGCCTGGCTCTGATATTTCAAATAAATATATGGGTATTATGTTGCCAGCTGTTCCTTTAACCACCCCTAGTTCCTCGGTGTCGGGTCGGTAGTTGCGAATTTTTGTTGGCTAATATAAGATCTCTACCCAAAAATGCGGCTTTGTTGGTTTTTCACCTGACTGAATTTTGTTCTGATACTGTGGCCTTTACCGAAATCTAGCTTAAAGCGAGGGATCACAATAAGATTGAGTTGGACTCATAGTGGAAGCGGGGATGCTGAATAATGTCCCAGTGGCGAAAGAGCTAAAGAGATCCGTCAAAATCGCACAGGAGGGTTTCTTTTCTTTGCTAGTTGGCCTTCGATAATGGACGAGTTAGCAACCTAAAACGTCGTTAGCACATGTTAAACCGATAGCCGCTATCATTCCAGCAAAGATCACGCTTTGATCATGCTTTGATTGATAAAGCATTTGCTAGGAAAGTTATAGGATACACACTCGAAGTGCAATATCTCATCCAATGAGGTAATGACAATGATGCTATTAGAAAAACACTAAGGGTGAAGCACAGGCGGCGGAGCTCAGGGAGGGTTGACAGCCCCAGGGCGGTGAACTACCGCGCCTTTGGCTAGGTAAAGGCCACATCTTGCTTCCTTAGGCCCTTGCTTCCGTTGGTGCATGTACTTCCATGTTGCAACGCACTTTATCGCAATCTCTCGCTTTGAAGGCAAACTCCGGGATTAGACCGACTAGAAGGAAAGATATCGCGAGTGAAATTTGAGATCCGTTCCTATCTAGATCACTCCAGCTTCGTCGAGAAAATACATACATCCGCAATGTTTGCAGGAGGCGCATTAGACGGTCTTTAAATGCAAGGAAATTGTAGTTGATGAAATTATTTTTGATCACAAAATAAAAGGAATCTATTACATTTTCACATCAGTTGGATCCAGGATCAGTTCTACTTCATCCAACCAGAGACTTGTGATCTGCTTACAGCTAGTCCACGAGCAGATCGCGGACATCTACCATTTGTTATAAACAGTGATTGGAACAATCACTACAAATCATCCTCAGGTTATGCCCTTCTTCTTCTCCTTCTTCCTCTCCCTAGCGTTAATCCGCGCACGAGTCCGCTGTCCTTGTCAGCCGTCGCTATCTTGCTCTATCCAGGGCATCTACTGCTGTGACACTGACTTCAGTGAGGTCTTTCTTTGCGGCGTCTTTTCAACTTCTTTGGGGCTCCTCGCGGACGCTAACCTTGCGCCTCTAAGTCCTGTGGCCTCCTCAACACGTGCCCATACCATCGCAGCCGTTGTTCCCTCACCTTCAGTTAGACAAGAGCAGTCTTCATGATCGCTCTAACACCCTTGTTTCTGACCCTGACCAGTCGCGTCCACTCGCAGGCCCATCCCAACATCGTAATCTCAACGGAGCGAAGCTGCCTTTCGTGAAACTTGTTCAGGGGCCAGCACTCGCTGCCGCATAGCATCGCAGAACTTACTACAGTCCGGTACACCTTCACTTTGAGCGTTCTAGAGCACCTTCAATCGCAGAGGATCCCTTTGGATTCCGTCTACCTCATTCAGGCTGCGTTGATTCGTGACTTCACTGCCTGATCCACATTTCCGTCGGCAGCTCGATCGCTCCCAAGGTATCGGAAATCGTCCACCCATTCGATGCATTCCCTGTAAAGAGTTCTTGCCCTCGGTATTGCTGCTGCCACGCGGATAGTATTGAATAACACAGAGGCGCAATTCAGATTTATTAGCACGGTAAACTCGAAGCGGGTAGCGTAGCCGAACTAGATGAAAAACTGCAAGCACTGCATCTTGACGAGCCGATCTGACGACTTTCAAACTAAGAAGCGCTGGATTATATGATTCATGGCGCATTATATAGGCGAACACAGCTGCAAATTCCTCGTCCACCTGCAGTCGTCTTCTTCTACAAAAGCGAAAGGAGCGAAGCTGAAAGCGAGCCACATAAAAACTCAAAGTCACTGTCAAGTTGAAGTATTGGTTGATTAATATTGTAAATAAAATAAAGACACAAAAATCGCGTTTACCCGCGATATTTCCGCCGGCGCTTTTGATCGGGCCTAGTCGAACTGGCGCGATTCCCTCTCCAGCTCCCTTATCCTTTCCGCATTCTCTGCCTGCGCATTCCTTGGCTGTGCGATTCTTCCTTGAAGTTTTTCTTTTCCTCTGGGAGGTTGCAGAGCGTCGAATGATGGTTGAGCTGCCGACACTAGAAGCACCTCGTATTGTACTTTTGGCACCCACGATCTCTCATACGGTATTCGAAGTACTTTTCACATTTTCCATTTTCATTCAACACCTGGCGCCGTTCCTCCACCGACATCACTTCTGTGCAGGAGTCAGAATAATGCTGACCCATAACACCACAAAATGCGCATCGCATAAACGTTTCGTTGTCACGGCTGTTCGCTCCTTCTTCGAACCGACGCGGTGGGTACATTGGCTGCTGCATCATTTCTTCTACCATTCTCGCTAAATTTGCATGGGAGCGGCGCCTTTGTAGAAGTTCTTCTTCGACTTCAAATCTAGAACGACCGTTGACCAGGTTGACAGGCGCTTCTTCCGGCTGAAGCTGTTCGGGCTCATCTGCGCGCGCATTCTCTGGGTCAACCGGTTCTTCTTGTGCCTCTTCTTCTTCGGCGTTTCCTTGCGCCTCTTCTTCTCCAGCGTCTTCATCTTCGACTTGAAGAGCCTCAAGCACTTCCATGAACTCAGCGCTTTCTTAGACTACAGCTCGCTCGTCCCGTGCATTTACAGGGATGTCTTCCCCAGCGCATTGATGGGAGGGCGCTCATTGTTCGCCCTTGCACTAAATGTTGCACGTTTGCAAGCGCTTCTCGCATTTCATTCTGGAAGAGAATGTTTTCCCTTCTCTCATCGTCTTCAAGACTCAGGCGCAGCTCTTGTAGACTTGAACGGTAATCGGCTAAGAGTTGAAGTTGATCGCTGAGCGCACTCTCAATCAACTCGCTATCCGAGAGCAAAGGATCGCCATCTTCGTTGAAGTGCTCACGCTCCATCTAGGAGTCCCATATGGCTTTTGCAATGGCTCCCGTCACCAGAAGGGGCGGCGCTGCAAAGAGGGTACTGAGCTAAGCTTTTAGGAGCAGAAATTCTATGCGCATCTTTTCGCAAGTGTTTTCGAGCAGCGGAGCTGCTGAATTCGGGTACCCCAGCTGTCTTCCGATTGACGCAACGATCGAATGCGCTCATCCAAGTGAGACATTTTTTTGTGCAGCTGTAAAACACTTGGCACTGAGCGATCAGTCTTTGATAAAGTCTCGTGGCTTGAAGAGGCAAGGGATCGCTCTTCGCAATTTTTTCAGCTGGTCTCTGAGTTCTCGACGCAGTTCTTCCATATCAAAAAAAATAGTTACGCTCAGGAATGTACTATTTCTTGGTACTAAGTGAACTTATAACCGTCGGCGCATGACGACTGCGCTTTTTCTTGAATCACCTTTTTTTTGTTTTGCTAGTCTGCGCGGCGCATGAAGTCACCGGAAAAGGATAGGCATTTTTCTTCGCCTGCGTCTCATTCGTAAACAGTGCTTCCAAAGAGCACATGCGGCCGCGAAAAGGGTTCGTAGTGGGAGACAGCTGATTGTCCAGAGAAGTTGAACGATCGATTCAATTGTGCGCACACAAAAAGTGCTCAGATAAACGTAGAGCAGCCCTATTATAGCGCGAATGTTAACATCACGACGAGTAGGGGTTTTACCAGTCAAAAAGGACCTCAATGATATGGCCGAAGTCGGGCCATTGAAACTAGTTATAAACGGAACTGCTCCCATTCAATGTTGCCAAGTCAGAGTAGTGTAGAGTGGTTACAAATTTGAGTAGCCCACTTAGCGCAAAAACACTCTCTGTCTTACCGCACGATATTGTGCAGTGTAAAGTTGTTTGGCCGAATTAAGATGGAAGCGCAGCTCTGATTGTGGTCCACAGGGAATTACAAATGTGTGCGCAGCGCACAGAACCTCTACAAGGACCTGATTTGATGCTACACACCGAACTTTCACGATTGCACCCCCAGCGCAGTGGTAGTATCCTTGCAATGAGGTGTCCTCGAATGAACAGTCGCTGTCCGCTACCTCTGC